TAAGGATTTGAATAGATATATCATCAAAGAAGATATATAAATGCCCAATAAGTACATGAAAAGATGTTCAACATCATCAGCTACAATGATATAAATAAAAACCACAATGAGATACATTTCACACACACTACAATAGATCTAATAAAAAAGACAGACAATAACAAGGGTTGGTGAGGATATGCTGAAATTGTACCCTCTAATGTCATTGATGGGAATGTAAAATGGTGCAGTCATTTTGCAAAACAATTTGGCAGTTTCTCAAAATTAAACATAGAGTTGCCATTTGACCAGGATTCCACTCCTAGGTATATACCAAAGAGAAATAAAAACATAGATCCCCACATAAACTTGTACATTAATGTTCATAACATTACTATTCAGAATAGTCAAAAGTTAGAAGCAACCCAAATGTCCATCAACTGATGAATGGATAAACAAAATGTGGTCTATCCATACAATGGAATATTATTTGACCATAAAAAATGAAGGACTGATAAATGCTACAATATAGATAACTCCTGAAAACATGCTTAAGTGAAAAAAAGCGAGTCACAAAAGGACCATATATTGTAAGATTCCATTTATCTGAAATGTCCAGAATAGGCAAAGGTACAGAGACAGAAAGTTGATTAGTAGTTGCTTAGGGCTAGGATGTGATTAGGAGGGGAATAGGGAATGAGGATTAATGGGCGCAGAGTTTGTTTTAGGAGGAGCAAGACTGCTCTAAAATTAAAGTATGGTGATGATTGTACAGCATTGTGAATATATTAAATATACTTAAAAACACTGAGTTGTGAACTTTAAGTGGGTGAATATTTTGGCTTGGAAATTGTACCTAGCTAAAACTGATTATTAAAAAGAAACAGCATTGGGCACATGGTGAACTCTTAATCAGTATAAAAAGCAAAAATGTGTTCTGCACTTGAAAGGACTTTGTGGAGCTTATCTCACATGATCCTGTCAATCCCTTATGAGGAAGGCTTCTGTTATTATCCTCAGTGTACAGGAGAGGAAACTGAGACTCAGTTTATGGAACTTGCTCATGATTACACATTAAGATACAGCAGGCAGGAACTGGAACACAAGTCTCTCTGACTTCAGATCCCAAGCCTTTACTGTTTTCCATAGACCATGTTGCCCCTCTAAATCTGGTCAGCGTAACTACATTGAGTGGGTTCAATTTAGGCCTTAGCGGCTGCACCTAGAAACTGTGTATCAGCTGGAGGAATAGTAGGTAATGACCCTGTGAGACTTAGGGAAGAAGTACTCTAGGAGAGCACTGAGCCAGGAGCTTGAACTATCAGTTCAGAAGGTCTCTACTCCTAGGCATTGATCACAGGTCCTAGAGATGCACTGGGTGCTAATTACCTATGAGACAGCTGAACAATCTCAATAGGCTGCCATCGGAGGTGGCTCCCAGGGGCATGTTTAATAAGGAGGTGGTGACTCCTCTCAGACAAGGGCTGGAGGTCTAAGGGTGGCTTCCCCCCCTGCAAAATGGAAACATCTCCCAATACCAGGCTGTCAAGGCCAGGTGATGCACAGCCACTCACTTGGTACTGTGATTTCTAGATCCGAGGAGCAGCATAGGGCTATGCGAAGAAGAAAACGTCCCTGAAGAAGCCTGGATCTCCTCCAGACAGAAAGTTAGAAATGCCAATAAAGCCAGGTGTGTTCAGCTGATAGCTGAGACAGCATAACTTCCAGATTGCAAATCTGTAAATTGCTCACCAGTTTTTCCCAAGGAGATGCCTTAGTCTATCCCTCTGTACTCACCCACTCTGAAGACTGACTTAAAAAAATGCTTGCAAAGAACAGGATGGTGATCCAACTGGATCTATATTGAAAACTATATTATACACACACACATATATAGTCAACACGACATTGAAACAACCGACTTTCTATTGGCCTTGCTATATCCTACAGTCCGAAGAGCATTACTGGTCACAAGGACAAATGACCTAGAGGCCTTGCAAGAACCTTGTGTCCTTTCTAAATCATCAAAAATAAAAGAGTCTGTTATGTTCGGTCTAGCTTTAGCACATGCTGGGTTTTCACTATTTGAAAATTGATAAGACATGTATGGGATATGGAATAGCCATTAACAAGAATGTTCGATTCACCAGAACAAACTGTTTTTTAACTATGAGAGAAAACATAAAGTGAACTCCTCCTCCAACTGTGACTCCAATTGGGGCCTCCAGTCTTATTTTTCTGGATTTCCCAGGAATACAGGGAGCTCAAGGCTAGAGAATGATGGCAGCTGCTTCTGGATTTCTTATCACCCCAGTACAGGCTGAAAGTTGGCATTTGTCTGAGACTTTCTCTAAGTTGCATCCTTAAGACCAGGTGCTGTTCTGTTGTGTCAGTTGAATTTCCTCTATACAAATGCAAAGGTACTTACTGTATTGGCATTATCTCTTTAATTGTCGGTCCACATTCTCTCATTAAACTCTGTGAGGGCAAGGACCATGCCTGTTATTCACAGCTCTATCTGCAGTGCTTGGCACATAATGAGTACTTGAGAAATAGTTGTGAGTGAATAAGTGAAAAACCTACTTTGGGAAAACTACCGATAACGCCCAACAGGTAATCTCTTCCGTTCCACACCCCCATTTTCCTTTTTTTTCTGGGTCTCAGAGGGGAGGTGATGCTTTTTCTTTTACCAGTCACTGGTTTAACAGCATCCTTTAGGCCCAGTCAGCTGAACATTGAGTTGAGTTGGCTGGCAGCCGGCAGCTGCTATGGACCAAGAATACAGACCTGGTTAGAGAACCTAGGCTCTGAGTGGGCTGGAGTTTTAGCCCTGAGAGAAAAGCCCAGGTGAGGTTGGTAGAATGACTGTTCCCTATAGGCCTTTCCTAACCATAGTTGGCACTGGGGCTTCTGTTCTGGGATGAAATTTAGAGCTGATGGAGGAATTCATTTCAACTTTGTACTAGGAACTCATGGCCACTCACTGTAATCTGGGTGGAGGTCTCCTCAGTGGTGTCACTTGCTTTCCCCCTTTCTCATCCTTGGGGCCATGGATAAGATGTGCACACCAGCCCCTTACTGGTAGAGCCATGAGGCTCAGCCTTCCCCACCCAGCAACTCAGCAACTAAAGGCCAAGTACTGGGCCCAGGCATTGGTCCAACCCCCTGGGAAAGTCAAGCCCTACAAACAGTGGTGCATCTGCCTCCTGCCTCCTGCCTCCTGCATGGACAGAGTGTCCCTGTGCTAGAGGCAGCCTATGACCCCAAAACTCTGCAGGCCCAAGGACCGGGGCTCTTAGGAATCAGGGAGGGGCTCTAAAGCTATGCCTAGCATTTATAGAAGTCTCCTTTCCAGACTGCAATACCTCTAAGAGAATCTAATGAAATTGATTTGATTTTGGAAAAGCAACATGGACACAACATGCAATGTGGTTGGTAAGACTTAAGGGACACAGAAAGCCCTGACATGGTGCCACTATCGCCACAACAAAGGGAAGACTTAATGACAGCACTGGCTAGAGTGCGGATGGGATGACAGAAACACCTTGGAAGGCAGGGTGGGACTACAAAGCCACCTCAGGGACTTCTTAAAATGGACTCCCCTCTAAACAAATCTCAGTTCCACATCTGGTCCTCAGCTGGGCTCCAGGCTTTTTCTTCTGCCTTCCCTTTTCCCTCTCTATCCTACTTAGTATAATTTACTTATGTGTGATGACAGAGACAAAGACCACAGGTGATACTGAGAGTGCTCATGCTGGCTTTGCTATCATTTGGCTATCATAGGTTTGATAGTATGTATGACCACCCACTTCAGAACCATTTGCCTGGAGATGTGTGGCAACCTGGCCCTCTGGGTTCTTTCTATTCCAAGTCAGTTATTTTGCTTTTTTATGTGGCCTCCTTCATATGCCTTGGGGCCACTTACTCTTTCTCAAATCTGTATTTGGTGATTGCCTTCTAATTCCTGTGGACAATGTTATGAGATGTACATATGGGCTTGTCATGATGTCTGTGACGAAGAGATAATGAGGTGAGAGGGTGTGTGTGGGTATTCAGGCCACTGGGTGCTGGAACATCCATCAGGCACGTGTTTCTACTCTCAAACTCCTCAATCTAGAGCATATGTGACCATGCTGCAAGGCAAGACAGCCTTGAAGAGAAAAGAAATAGACAAGCAGCAAGGCAAGTAGATGAAGAGACTTCAGCATGTGAGGAGGGTGACCACTGGGTGGAAAGTCTCAGTTACTGCCTGTGATGTTTGGGTGTTGGGGTTGGGAAGTACTTACTACACTAACTTGAGCCTTAGGTCTAATATGTGTACTGAGAGTACCTGTTCTATGGGTCTCTTCCTTTTCCTCCCACTTTGGTTCAGGGCAGCAGTATTAAGACTGGGCCGATTTTTTTCCAAGGCCCGTTCCTGATTACCATAATCAGGACAGCTCTGAGTGGTAGCTGCACTGAGCTGTTTGGGGGCTGCACTTGACTTTATTCTTAGTGGTCGTTCCCTCCTATCTATCTCCAAGCCTCATGCTAGACTATACTCTGGGCCTGGAAAGTCTTCCCTACCCGAGCCTCACATGGCCTCTTACTTCAGGCAGCTGTCAACCCCCCCTATAATGAACAGAAGAAAAGTTTTATCTTCATTTACAACCTCTACTCAATTAAGCCAGAACACCCATGCATCCCTTCTAGATCGATGTACCTCTAAAGCTTTGCCTTAGATTCAGCGTGATTCCTTAATTGGTTCTATTTATTGCTTGTTTGCTATTTTTATCTTACAATTGTTCACTGACTCAATTGCGATGTGTTGTCACAGGCATCCTTTGTAGGACAAGCCCATCTGAAAGCCAGCTGTCTATTCCACTGGCTTGTGCCAAGTGGGACACAGTGGTACAGCCTCTGCTCCTGGTAAACTAGGTGCTGGCAGAATGGGGTGAGCACTAAGGCAGTGGAGCTCCTCCCTCCATATCTCCAGGGTCCAAAGGGCCTCTGGCACACCAAAGACTGAGGCTGAGCCCTACCTGCCTTGATCATTGGAGGTGGAAGAGGCTGGCTAGCAGGCCTGGAGAAGACCATCTTCCTGGAATCCAGCAGGAGGCGGCAGTACCCCGCAATCAGGCAGGCAAAGTTGGTGGCTTCGAGCCACTCCATCAACAGCACCAGAGGCTGGGAGAGAGATGGGAAGAAACATGAGGATACCAGAAGGAGGTGGGCAGGTTCAGTTCGCTGGAGAATGATAGTGAAGAAAAGATGACTTGCATGGTTAAGGGAACCAGAGTTTCTGAACCAAAAATTGAGGCACGTGGCCTGAGAAATAATTTCTTCCAATCTGAGAATTTATTTACAGTAAACTCTTATCCAGGTATCAAAACTAAGTCAATCATTAATTATACATTTAATGAATCACCTTTATTGAAAAAGACTAAAATTTTATAATATTGCATGACTGCTGTGTGGCTGTTTTGAAGGTTGTCAAGGCTCAGCAGATGCGTGGGCCAGCTGGGAAAGCTGGGGTGAACCTGGGAGTCAAGGCTAGATTGGGGAATATCCTTGATGGAAAGTTTCTTGATTGCATAAACTATCTCTTGCTCATCTTTCTAACCCCCTACACTACCCAGAACAGCTTCCAGACATGGACACTCCATTCAACCAAGTTCTCACTGTGGCTTCTGGGCCAAAGTCTTTCTGGTCTGCAAGCCTGCTCAGACGTTTATGCTTTCCTCTTTTTCCTCTGTTTCCCAAAATGTTCTCAAGATGTTAATTGGTGCTCCTTAAAAGGGTTCCTTGGTCAAATATGTGTGTGAAACACTGGGTTAAACAAAGCTATATAGACAGTTGTTCTTACAGAAATTCTCAAATCCTTTAATATATTAAGGTGCACTGCGAAACTTCAAGAGGGAGGCTTTAGTATTCGAACTTTTCTAAATTATTAGATTGAAAAAATCTATTTTCATAGAATATCTCATGGTGTTCTCAGGGTTGTTGTTGTTGTTTTAACCCACTTTGGGAAATACTAGCATACTTTGTTGACTTTTGTCCTTGACCTTAAATCAGTCAAATTAATATTGGGATTAGCTAGTTGACTGCTTCAGAGATCTGGCAATGAAAAAACAAAAATGAAAAATCAGCACATTTTCAATAAACCTTCCCAATGTCTATATTGTAACTTTAAAAGTGTGGAAGTCAGCCATGAGAGCATTCTCCCTGGGACAGGGCAATGGCTACCATATTAAGACCTCTAAAGACTGGCTGAAGAGGGAGCCATGGGGCCATGGGTTGCCTTCACTTTCGAGAATTTGCAGACCAGGCATTAAGAACTACAAGAATTAAGAGGAGGGAATGAGTCTCTTCTCTGACCAGTGAGAAGTCTAGGCAAGAGGTGATTAGGGCCTCCATTCGGGTAGTGGCAGTAAAAAGGGACATCATGAAGACCTGATGGAACTTGGTCACCAACAAGACTAGCCTTCTTTGGCTGGATCATCACCTGGGAACCATTCTGAATCCATATCAGCTCAGCTTTTAGCTAAAGTTGCACCTATTTTCTTTGCTGTCTCCCAGGATCCCAACACATAGCTTGAGTTGAATATTTTGTAGTTCATACAGACCAGGGGTTGGCAACCCTTTTCTGTAAAAGGCTAGATAGTAAATATTTTAGGCTTTGTGGGCCATACAGGTTCTGCCATTGTAGTGTGAAAACAGCCATAGATAATCTATAAGCTAACCAAATGGGTGTGGCAGTGTTCTAAGAAAACTTTATTTACAAAAAACAAGTGGTGGGTCAGGTTTGGTTCGCGGGCCATAGTTTGCCACCTGATTTAGAAGTGAAGCCTCCTTCCAGCTAAATACAATAGTTTGCATTCATTTTCATACCTCTCAGCTTGTTTCATTTGCCAACAGTAATCGCCTTCTCATTTGGAAATTCTTCTCTTGGCTTCTGTTTCCATGAGGTGATACTGTGTTCTGGTTCTGCAATCTCTGAACATTCCATCTTTCTCTTTGGCTGGCTCTTCTTGCACAACCTCCCCCACCCAATCCATGTCCTGGGCTGAGTCCTTAACCCTTAGTTCTTCATCATCAGGGCATCGACTTTCACCTCTGTCCTGGGGATTCCAAAATCACCATCTCCAGCCTATTTCCATCTTGAGCTCTTTACCTATCTCAGAACTTGTACGCTGCAATGTCTATATCACATGATCTTCTGTTGGATTGACCCTATCTTGAATTATTTAATAGTTATTGTACATCCAATTACACTACATGCCACAGTAAGGCATTTGGATTCTGTCCCTTAGGCAATGAGTTAGTGATGCTTCTATGGAGCTCAGGCAATACCATCAGCAAGAAAAGGAACAGTCTGTACCCAAGGACCAATGGTTCCTTTCTCCAGTGAAAAATGGACCAGGATGAGATGTTACCTTTAGGTCATTGTTAGAAAGGGGCAGAGTGGGTGTTTGTACCTCTAGTCAATGGATGTTTCTCAGTCACAACAGAATGCTCAACTTTGTGTACAACAAAGTAGGGACAGAAGGGAAATGGAATGGGGGTGGGGAAAATGAGATGCCCTTTTCTGCCTCACCCCCTGCCACCAATGGCAGAAGGATACACAGAGGTTTGGGTATGAATAGCTGCTACTACCATTACTATGAGGGCCAAAGACTCACTAGGTTTGCCTCAGGAGCCTTCACAAACATCACAGCTATTCCTGATACCACTGCTCTATTTCAGGCTGTCATCATCTCTCTTCAAGGCCAAAAATTCTCAAGGTATGTGTGAATTGGGTGACAAGTGTACTGAGATCCTGAGCCCCTCAGCTTCCAGATCGGGTACCTCTGGCCACGAGCTGCCTCATCTGTTTATTCTAGTATGCCATACAAATCATGGTATTTTCTGTGATATGGAAAAGGTGAGGACACACTTACTTCAGGACCTCCAATAGCCACCTGATTGTCCTCCCTGCCTCCAGTCTCTACCCATTTCTCTCCACTTTGTTTCCTGCTGTCTGAGTCACGTTCTAAAATACGACTCTCCCTGTCACTTAAAATCTTAAATAGCTCATCACCTAAAAACCACTGCTTTCAAATGTCACACAAAGCCCTTTATGACCTGGACTCAATTTATAGCTCTAAGCATATCTGTCATTAACTGCCTGCACCCTCCTCTCATCACGATTTCTCATCTTATGCAACAGCAATGACATATCATTCACAATTTGCCAGAGATGCCATGTTCTTGTACCCCTTCATACCTTAACCTATGCTAGTCTCTCCAGTTGAAATGCTCCTGTGCCCCACTCTGTCCACACATTGGCTAGATGGCTCATGGACAGTAGTGCCCATGGAGAGATGCAGCCATTCATCCCAGAACAGGCCCAACACATTTCTGGACATCATGGCACTTATAATCTAGCAGGAAATATGACATAAACCAAATAATCATAGAAATGAACAGGACTGCAAGGTGTGATAAGCACTATGGAGGAAACGTACAGAGAGCTATCAGAACATAGAATGTCCTGGATCCGTGTGTGGGTAGGTGGGTGTGAATGTGCACATGTGTGACTAATTTGGTTTCAGAAGCTGGAGAAAGATTCTCTGAGGAAATGGCATTGGCTGATAAATAGAATGAGAAACCATTTAACCAAAATACAGGCTGACTGCTGGATGACTGATGGACAATCTGAGGACCAGTTGGCTGCAGGGCAGTCTGACCCACTGATGCCCTGGCTCACAAGCTGGTTGTAGGACAGGAAGAATACCTGACAGCCTAACAGCCTGACATCCTGACCGGTTAAGCTGTCTGGCTGACTGGTCTGCTGGCTAATGGACAAATCAGAGGCTAAGTGACTAACTGGCCGATTGACTTAACTTTCCGACTTCAACTTTCCCTCTTATTTCTTAACCCAATATAGCCCAATGTTAGCAATAAAGCAGCATGAAAGCAAAATCCTGTGCATAGAGAGGGCCAAGCACATTCCCAGCTGACTTAGCACAGTATATCAGGAACCTCTCTTCTGTATCCCTGCACAGCCAAATGGGCCACAGCACGGGGCAAATGCAGCTTGTAAAAGGAACATAGATGTACTTTTTGCCAGTAGGGGTAAAAATCAAATCAAAGGCAGGCAAGCAAGGAGGTTGGATAGATTTTCTTAGAAACCTTCAAAACCAACATTTTCTTTTAAATATGATTTTAATGATCATGCTGTCTAATGTAATGCTTGTCCCTACAGAATGCACTAGAGCAATAAAGCTCAAACATGAGAATAGGAGACACACTGGGTCACAAGAAATCCCTTGGGACATTCCTTTGATGGCTTCTTTTCTCCCCTTGTGTGCTTCTGTGGTAATGGGATATGGTAATGGCCCAGAGCTGTCTCAGTCCCAGACTGCTGTCTCTTGAAGAAAGATATTTGCACACTACCTCATATGCCCTCCTCTAGGAGCACATAAGCTGAGTGAAAACTGTAACTAAATATGTCCAGGCCATTTTCAAATGGAGAAGGAGAAAAGGAGAATGGAGTCAGAGGCATGGCCGGCCATGAGAGGGTACAGTAGGGATTAGTTTGGCATGCTCTAGCCCCATCTCCATCCTGGGGTGCTCTGGGGGCCCGAAGGTACCTAGCACTTTGGGATGTCAATTAAGGAGGGGATTGGTCCTGGAGTAACCTCAGCTCGCCCTAGCATCCCTGAAAACAGGAAAAGGATGGGAATCCAAAGGCCTGGAGGGACAGGGGTACAAGATTATATTCCTTGACCTCACAGCACTGGGAAAGGCTAATTGGGCAAAGCCAGCCAATTTGGGGGCAAGGTATAAAAACACTTTAAGGCAGTGGTTCTCAGGTCATATGTACATCAGAATTACCTTTAAAAACCTATATACCCCAGCCTCACCCCCAGACATTCTGGTTTAAATGGTCTGAGAGGAAGGGCTCTGGTATCCAGTGGTTTTTAAATCTCCACACATGATTCTACTATGCATCCAGAGCTGAGAACTACTGCTTTAAGTGAATAATCTTAGTTTCACCAGGCCCTTCCAAAATATTCCCAAAGTGGCATATCTAGGAGGAAGTGGGCCAAGTCTGACTTCTAACTTCCATGCTCCTTGTTAAGGAAATTCAGACAGTCTTTCTTCATGTACCCTCTGCAGTGGTGTGCTGGTAAACATTTAACAACTAGTTCTCAAAGGTTCTGATTTCTGACAATTTCCCTAGTGTACATACTCCCACCATGGCCACTTTCAAGTTATCAATGAGAGAACGCTGAACCCAGAGTTGGAAGAGATGTACCCAACTGGCTCTTAAGCAACTGCGTGAGCAGCCTACAGCATGACACTGATCCCAAAGATAGACTCCTACTAAGACCAAGTAAACCATTCTCCAGTAAGGAGCTGCCAAATCCTTCCAATTGTGCAGATATACGGGGAGAGGCACCGCTCAGTAACTACAGACACTGATGTTATCAAGTACCTCCAGGAAGCTTCCTTAATCCTCCAGCCATAATTAATTTTGCTCTCCTCTGTACACTGACATACTCTTGGTACCTAGCCTATGGTAACTCCTTTGGTATGCCATTAGTTGACGAACTTCTTTCTCTTTGACAAGACAGTACGCTTCTTGAGGGAAAGAATGTTTTTCCAGGTTTTTTCTTTTTCTTTTTTTTTAATCTTTGTCTCTCTCAGTGGGTTTAGCATGATTCCTAGCAACAGTAAGTCCATACTAAATGATATAGTGGTGGGAGGAAAAAAGGAAGAGTGAGAGAGAAAAAAGATCTGGGTTTCCATTTGACAGCCGATTTATATGAGAAAGGTATAAATACTGCCCTGTTCATTTCATAGGGAACTGACATGTAACTACTGGTGCACACAGCAGACATCTCTGATTACAAATGCATCAGATTTTATGTAACCAAAGTTGGGTGTGAGCAGAACATTTATCAATCAAATCATATCTTTAATGAGAGCCTCCTACTTGAAGGAATCTCTCTATATATTCATTTCCTGTTGCTTCTGTACAAATGAACATATACCTGGTGGCTTAAATAATATACATCTATTATTTTTAGTTCTGGAGGTCAGAAGTCTAAAATGAGTCTCACTGAACTAAAATCAAGGATAGGCAGGGCTGCATCCCTTCTGCCTTCTGGAAGCTCTAGTGAACAATGGGTTTTCTTGCCTTTAGCTTTAAAAGGCAACCCGCATTCCTTGCCTCATGGTCCCTTCTGCTATCTTCGAAGCCAGCAAGGTCAGTCTGAGTCCTTCTCACACTGCAGTGATCTGACTTTCTCTTCTGCCTCTCTCTTCCACTTATAAGGACCCTTGTGATTACACTGGGTACACCTGGATATTCCAGGTTAATTTCCCTATTTTAAAGTCAGCTGATTAGCAATCTTACTTCCATCTGCAACCTTAATTCCTCCCTGCCATGTAACATACCATATTCATAGGTTATGGGAATTAGGGCATTGGCATCTTTGGGGGGCTATGATTCTGCCTACTGCACATAACTCTTTCTACAAAGTAGAAACATTATAATGTAAAGTGAATAATTCTCCTGTGGTTTTTCATATGTATTTTAGTGGTTGCTTAAAGGAGAGCATACCTGAACTATCTGCCACCTGATGGTTGCATCGTCTAGGCAAAATGCAACCTTCTCCTAGCCCCCTTCATTCACCAACAAGATCTGTTTATCACTTAACATAGTCTCTCGCGTCTCCACCCACCCATGATGTGGACTCTCTGTGTGCTGCATGCATAGTGCCGTTCTTCAGTGCACCTGAGCTACGTGCAGCAGGTAATTAGTTAGGTACAATAAGATGTGTGTATTGTATGTGCAGGAGAGGAATGTGTATAGGAATGTGCATGTACACTCTTAATGATTCGACATGTTTTGCATTCATTCTTTCTTTTTCATTACCACTGCTGTCCCTCCAGCTCAGGCTCTGCCCTTATCACTTTACCCCTGCAGTAGCACCATGATCCCCTCCTCACATCCCTGGGTTTTACATTAGCCTTGCCCCCATCCATGGGGCACACTGGTCCAAATCAGCTTTCATCCTATCACTCCTCTGCTCCATGGCCTACAATGGATTCCCATTATTCTGTTGCATTGAATCTAAATTCCTCGGACTGGTCTTCAAAGCTTATAGCCAGTTTGTTCTGCCCACCCCCAATCTCCCCAATCTCTTTTCTTGTTATTCCCGTCTATGTGCTGCAGCCAAGCAACTATGCTTATCGACTTGCACATATGGCTTGCTTATTTCCGTGCTTGCTCTCTGCCTGTGAATACATGCTACTTCTCTCTGCTAATCTATGCCTATCTCTTCAAGATCCATCTTAACACTCTCTTGTGGGAAGCCAGTTCTGGTTAACCCCTTCCTGTTCTTTTGTTCCATGTTCCACACTATACTTATCTACAAAATTACTTGCTATTAACTTTATTGTTGTTTTGAGTTTTAAAAAATAACAGGTTTCATTTCTTGAATACTTATAATGTGTCAGGCAGTGTGCTAAGACATTCAACATACATTTTCTCATTTAATCTTGAATGAGAAACTTTTCAGATAGGCACTCTATTTTTCAGTTGAGGAAATCAGTGCTCAGATTAAGTTACTTTTTCAAGGCCACACAGCTAGGAAGTAGTAAAGCCGGGATTTGAACCTGGTCTGACTACAGAGTTCTATACATGTTCTGATGTTGTGTTTTAAAGCAGGTCATATGTCTTTGTGAGTCTAGGTCTTCCCAGTAAGAGTGTAGCCCCTCCAGGGCAGCATTCATGCCCACAACTGTGGTTGGATCAGCCCTAGAAATGAGAATAGTACTCCTTACTCAAGCAACACCCCACTGACCATGCTCTGCCTATTCCTCCCAGAGCACTGGACCCAGAGGTAAGCAGTTCTCAAACCTGGCTGTACTATAGAATCACCCAGGGAACTGAAAAATAAATAAATCCTAATGCCCAAGTTGTACCCTGATCAATTAAATCACAATCTCTGTGAGTAGGACCTAGGCATCTTTATTTTCCAAAAGCTCTCAAGAAAATTTAATTGTGCAGCCAATGTTGAGAATCACTCATATGACAAAGAAGAAGATTCAGTTGAAAAAGTTATTTCTCTGTTTTAAATTTGTTTTTATTTCTCAGGAAGCTTCATCTCCCCTGCATGTCTGTCTTTCCTCCCCCTTCCCTACCTACACATTTGGCTTTTTACCCAAAACACCTGAGAAGGGCAGCAATCATTGGCTGAGGAAGTGGTCACAAGCCAATTAAATATCAACTCTAGGTAGGTTCCTAAACCAATGGCAATCCTGTGAAAACACAGGTGGAAAAATTAACATATTAAAGCTTTCTGGATTTCACAAAAACAAAAATAAAGTAAATAATTTGCTCTTTTAGAAACAGCAAACTGTCCATCTCTTAATCTGCTAACATTTCCCCTTGGGAAATCTTTTAAGGAAGAAAAGTTGCACCTCCTCTAATAGCTTTCACCAGCTGGCAGGCCTGCCTCCCACCCACAGTGGTCACTGGGTGTTCAAACAGGAGAGCTATGGAGGGGGTGGCTGGCCATAGCTGTCAGGCTCTCCACAGGCGACAGCTTCTTGCCAGTCTGAAGGAGCTAATCTATGGGAAATGTTCTAAAGTTCCGAAAGAGGTGGACTCCGGGAGGTGAAATGGGGACTAGGCTCTACCTCTTCACTCTCTCCTTGGTTCTGTCCACATACTCAGACATCCCCTTCTCCATGATCCCAAGTGGGTGTGCCTATGGCAGGGCTCCCCAAATGGTGTACACATATACCTTTAGACTCTGGGACAGCCAGGCAGGGGTGCCAGAGTCTCTGGGGCTGGTCCATTTACCCCAGTATTCCACATGAATGTAATTTCCTATGTGTGCTACGACACAAGAAAGATCGGGAAGTGATGGCCTAAGGGTAGCTCCAAGTTCTCCGGTTCCCTTGCTCTCTGCTAAAGACCTCTTATGGGTTGATTTGATACTCCCTAGCTTTCCCTAAACTGGCTGACCTTAATATGTGGTCAAGATGCCATGTCCTACAAAGTTGAGATAGGAAAGAAAGATGAGCCCAAAGGGGCTCAGGGTCTGAACCACTTCAGAATAACTGAACCTCACCTGACAGGCTCAAACTCTTTCTCTTTAATTCTTCCTTTGTTCCCAAGGCCTGTCCCTGGGGAGAAGTAGGCTCCAAAGCCAGTCTTACCTTGGCATCCATGATGCTGGTCTCCACCCGGGCCACGCCCTGGTTCTCCCGAAATAGCTGGATCTTGCTGATCTTGCTGAACTCGGACAGCACAGTGGTGAGGTTGGTTTTGAGGTCAATAACATGGCTGATGCCGTGACGGGGTCCTACCAGGAGAGTAGTGGCTGACTGCTTCTCACCCTGGTGCCCAAGTGTGGTGGGCAGCATTCACGGGAAAAAAAAGGCAGAGGAGGTGGGGGAGGAGGCAGGAGGAGGGAACAGAAAACAGGCATTGGACCAGTTCTTCTGGGAGGCCTGGAAGCATCTGGGGCTCAGTGCCAGGGCAGGAGGACAACTTTCAGGGGAAAATGGCCTGGGATTCTCCTGTTCTCAGGTCAAGGTCCTGGATCATTGGTCCAAATGGACACCTTAGCCTCAGCAGCAGGTTGAATGAAGTGGGAAGCAGCAGGGCTGGTTCCAGCAAAATCATGAAGTAGGTGAGGTTTGTTTCAGTGCCTTTATAGCATCCTCTTCCTATTAAGCTCCAAGGACTTTCCATTTGTTTCTGCGGACCACTTAAGGCCTCCACCCAGTGCTCTGCTTGAACAGGTGGCATCTTGTGTTTTCTCTTTATCACCCCTGCCCCCTGCCCCGTCAATGACTAACAGCCACTCAAACATGTACTTCTCACCAGGTGCCAAAAGTTAAACTGACAAAGTTAAACTAACTCTGCCTAAGGTATTAAGGGTTGACTGCTCAATGGCGGGATGAGAGGGGGTCTCTCTCCCTAAGAAGATCTTTGCTCTTTGATAGGCACTACAGCAGTCTTAATCTAAAGGAATGGCCTATAAGAATTTCAGCAATGGCAAGGGTGTGGGGGGTAAGATGGAGGGAGGGGGCAGTGGGCTTTCAGCAATCCTCAAATCCTAGTATGTGAATGGCTACCTTTGTGCCTGATGGACTGAATTCATTTAAGTGGTCCCGACAGGCTCCTTGGTGCCCTCTGTGGGCCTATTCCCTGGTATTAGCATCACCCTGAGGAACCTCTTCCATCTGCTATACTTTGATAAGCAGCTTTCCATTGGTGTGCCCTGCCAGCATGAGCATGACAGCACGTTTCCGAGAGCATGACAAGCACCTGGATCCAGTCAGCAAGATGATTTGAATTTCCTTTCACCATAACTCACTAGGGTAAACTAGCCTGGGGCACAGTCTTAGGGGGGACCAGGAATACCCCACTCCTGAAAAGGGTGTTGCTGCAGTAGATGCTCTGGGCAGGCAGGGGGAAGTATGCTGACTCAGGAAGCCTGGGGTGGGAGGCTGTGGGGGTATAAGGAAGGGAAATTAAACAGGATAGGGGTCAGCAAACTCTGGCCCATGGGCAAATCTGGCCCACCACCAGTTTTTATACAGCCCATGAAATAAGAATGGCTTTTACACTTTAAAATGGTTGGGAAAAAAATCAAAAGAACCATATTTTATGACATGTGAAAATCACATGAAATTCAAATTTCAGTGTCCATAAAGAGATATTGGAACACAGTCACACACATTTGTTTATATATTGTCTACAGCTGCTTTCATGTTACAATGGCAGGGCTGAGTATTTGTGACATGTGCATAGCCAGCCTACAAAACTTAAAATATTTACTATCCGGCCCTTTATGGAAAAAGTTTGCCAACCCCTGAAATTGAGGAAAGGGGACACAAAAGGGTCATGAAGAGGTACTAAAAACAAATATGGCCTCCTACTTAACCATTTTATCAGAGGTGGGACTAGAGAGGGGAGAAGGAGAAGAATGAGGAAGAGGAGGGAAGGCCTTTAGAAATATTTGCTAAGAGAGAATGCCCCCCTAAAGCTCTAATGGAGTCCCTTCTGCCCTCCACCCAAGGACAGTGCACACAGAGGGCTCCCTTCCCCCCAATCCCACTGCCCTCACTGACCAGGCCCACAGTGTTGAACAAAACACCAGTGAAGGTCGGAAGTTCATTCAGAATTCGAAGATACTGGAGCTTTGCCTGAATTGCAGAGCCCTGCGGAAACAACCCACCCAGAAATATGAGAAACTTGAGACACACAAAAGCAAACTTCCTGTTTTCTCAGGAAGGAGTGTCATCATCTTAGGACAGGCACTAATCAGCAAGCCACACTGTGGGAGTGTGAGGAGACCTTCAGAGAAACTGTAGGAAGGTTCTGGTTTGGCCAGCTCTGCCTCTAGCATTCTAAACACTCCTGCTTCCTCCAAAGCCTCATTACAAAGAATCTATCTTAATTGAGTTAACTCCAATTCCTTTCCTCAACTGTGACACCTCATCACATCTAAACCTCTCTCCTGAGATCCTCTATAGCCACTAGGTACTGGCCATCCCCAACCAGGGGTCCCCCTCAATACCTTTAATCTTGAACGCCCCCAAGTCCCAAGTCTGCTCTTCCTTTGGCATTCCCTCATAGGAAAATCTCTATTAGTGGTAGCAGTATCCCCTGGGCATTCCAGCTAGAAATCTGAGTCACACTGGACTCCTCCCTCATCCTCTTTCCTGAGAAGGCCATCGGTTACCAAATCATCTTGATTCCACCTCCTAACTGTCTCTCCAACCTATACACCCTTCTTCTCTAGCCCAATGGTCCTTGCCTTGATGTCCCCCATCTGTGACTTCACTACTAACACTCCTTTCCTTCAACCCTTCCACACTGCTTAGTGAGAGCATCCTAAAACATAAGCTTAATCACATCAGCTGCCTGCTTAAACCCTTCAATGGCTCCCGGCTGCCTACAGGGTGAAATATAACTCCTTTCCATAGCACACAAGACACTCTATGAATTGGCTCCTGCCAACCTCTCTCCATCCTTCTCTCTAGACCCCACCCTCCACCACACTACAGGTGTGTTCCTTGAACTTTCTCTCCTGGCTTATGCTGAACTACTTGCATTTCTTTCCATGTACTACATTCTCTCATAACCCTGGGCCTTTGAAAACACCTGGGAGAGTCTTCCTCTCTGCAACTCACCTAGACAAACTCTTATCTGTCAGTCAAGACCCGGCTCTGGCCTCAAATACCTTTTCCACTCCCCTCAGGCTGTGCTGGGCGTTCCTTCTGTATGCTTCCAGAGCACCCATACCTATTGCACTGTGTTGTGACTGACTGTCATGTTTCCCCACTAGCCTGTGACTGACTCAAAGAGGAAGATCAGGCCTTCTTTATCTTTGTATCTCTAGCCCAAGCACTGCGGAGCCTCAAAAAAATGTTTGTTGAGGAGATGGTTGGGAGTACTGATGTTTTCCTCTGGGAAGAAAACAATCTGATTAAATATGCACAGCAAGGTAGGAATGGCTTAACTCTCTGGGATAACTTGCATCTTAAAAGAGAAGTTAGTTGGTAATGCAAGGAATCTGGAATGGGTAGAATATATGAGGTGATTGTGTCCTGTATCTACATCTGCATGCTGATTCCAGTGGCTCTCAACACTGACCTGCCTTTGGGGCAAAAGCAGACTGAGCTTTACAAGCTGCCTGCAGGGCTGGGAAGCAGGGAGTGGGAGTTCCTCAGAGGGCACCTAAGAAAGTGCTGGAGAGCACAGCAATGACCTGAACCCTCCACTCTGCCAGTCACCCATTCTTCAGGTAAGGTCTTGTCTCATTGGGCTGGACTTTTATCTCAGAATTCCCTGTCCCAGGACTGATGAATTAGAAAGCTAGTGAGTAATAGAGTAGTCATGTCCATGGAAAACATGTGCTGTCCACATGACAGGGTGGCAGGTGCTCAGCCAACACTTGCTAAGTGGGTGAAATGACCTGAGAATTTTCTCCTCCTACATCTTGGTCCCTTTGCTTTGAAGACCCTGGGCTTTCTCAGTGGTTGGCCACTGAGGTGTCTCTGGGGGAAGCTCAAGTTTTGGGAAAAGCCCTCTCTGCAATTGTCCCCTATATTTGGCCAAGCTGGATGTATACCCAAGTCGAAAACAGCGGGGAACTTCTGGAGAAGAGCAGACATGCAGGAGCACCCATTGCCACTAGTGTCTGAGTAGGGTTCTCAATGGCCTACTCTGGGTACCTTGGTGCCACTGGAAGGATGTGTTTGGTGGGCCTTCAGTTGCTGAGAGAGAGATTTCCGGAAGTTCTTTTCTTTGATGCCCTGCAGGAGGGAGGGGGGGAGAAAGGGTTCCAGGCCCCATTCCTTCCTGAAAGCAGAAGAAAAGTAAGAAATTAGTGAGATAGACAAACTGGGGCAGATAAAGGAAGGTGGTAAGACAGAAACCAAATGAATCTGAGAAGCAGAGGTAGAGGAATAGAGCCTGGGAGAAAGAAAAAGAGAAAGAGCGATGGGCACAGGAGAATTACATTGGGCACAGTTCCCTAGAAGAAGCAATAGCTCAAGTACATCATGGTTTAGGTATGAGAAACTCCAATTCTCACTCCCATCCCAAAGCTACATTCCTGAAAAGCACAGCAAAGCTCAAACATTGCACCTTTTCTCTACACAGCTTTAGAAGGGCCCCCATCCCAAGGGCCCGAGCACAACTCACTCCACATTCTTGAGTGAAATCTTCTGACTAGGTCGAGTGGCTGAAACAGTGATATAGATATGGAGGGCAGCAAGGCCTAAAAGCATCTCCGGCTTGGGGTCCATTCCAAAGCGTTCCCGGATAACATCATTCCGACTCTGCGAGAGAGGGCAGTCCAAATCTGTCAGTTAAAGGAGACATTTTTCCCCATCCCACCTCCATCTACTCTCTTCCATCCCAGAAAAGGATACTGGTGTCAGTCCTCATAGATAAAGAGGAAGAGGAAAGTTCTGCCTTTGGGGAAGGGGTAACAAGATGAACCTTGGGTCTCAGAGACACTATTCACTTCATTCAGTAGATATTGGACAGCCTCCTTTTCAGTGAAAGGTTTGCAGAGTGGCAAGGCACAAGTGGGCAGAAGTGCAAAAGTGAGACATGGCATCACTCCCATTTTTCTGTTATAAGAGATCCTCCCTGCCTTTTCTTGAGGACCTATACTCATCCCCTAGCCATACAGGGTTCCTCTACTTGGTCAAATGGGAACAAAGGAAGAGAGAAATTTGGAGGGGCTCTCTATAGGGCTCTGGCCCAAAAACCCAGGATGAGAGATGATTTGCAGAGATGGGGCAAATATTCTGTACCTTGGGATCTGAAGGTCAAAAGCAGTAGTAAGTCAGTCTTCCTTATACTATCCTAAAAGGGGTCCCCTAGAGTTACTGGCCAAGGGCATGATGACAGTCCCAAAACCCAGAGGGTCAGATTCCCAGCTATCAATGATTCAGCCTGAGTTAGACCAGCTGCCCATTGTATTGAGGTGGAACCAGGAGGAGCTAAGGGATTAGAGAGCCATGGCGGTATCACTACACATAGGAGAAAGTGGAAGAGGAATGTTTCATCAATTATCATCTATGTAAAAAATCCAATGGAATCAAAAAAAAAAAACATAACTACTAGAACTAATGAGTTAGTTAGGTTGCAGGATATAAGATCGATATACAAAAACTAATTGTATTTCCACATGCTTGCAACAGGCAAAAATCAAAATTAAAAATCAAAACCAATTATCATAGTATCACAAATATGAAATAATTAGGGAAAAATCTGTCAAAATATGTGAAAGACCTGTACACTGAAAACTAGAAACATTGCTGAGAAAAAATAGTCTTAAATAAATGTAAAAATACACTATGTTCATGGGTTTGAAGACTCAATATTATTAAGATGTCAATTCTCCCCAAATAAATCTATAGATTCAACACAATCCCAACCAGAATGACAGCAGGTTTTTGGTAGAAATTAATAAGCAAATTCACATGAAAATGCAAAGGACCCAGAATGGTCAAAACACCTTTGAAAAAGAACAAAGTTGGAAGACAAACACTACCGGATTTAAGACTTATTATAAAGCTATCATAGCCAAAAGAGTGTGATGTTGGCATAAAGATAAGACAGGTAGATCAAATAGAAGAGAGAGTTCAGAAACAGAATGACACATATATAGACAACTGATTTCCGACAAAAATGAAAAGGCAATTAATTCAGTGGAGAAAGGATAGTCTTTTCAACAAATGGTGCTGAAAAACTGTATATCCATATGCAAATACCCACAAACTTTGATCAATACTTTGTGCCACATATAAAAGTTAACTCAAAATGGATCACAGACCTACAAGTAAAGCTTAAAATGATAAAACTTTTAGAAAAAAAATAGGATAAAATCTTTGTGACCTTGGGTTAGGCAAAGAGTTCTTAGATATGACACCACAAGCACAATCCATAAAATAATAAATCGACAAATTGAACTTCATCGAAATTCAAATTTTTGCTCTATGAAAGACATTGTTTAGAGACTGAAAAGACAAGACTGGGAGAAAATAACTGCAAATAACAAATCCAACAAACAACTTGTATCCAGAACATATAAATAACTCTTAAAACTTGGTAACAAGAAAACTAAAAACCCTAATAAAAAAGTGGGCGAAAATTTGAAAAGATACTTCACCAAAAAAGATGCAGATGGCAAATAGGCACATGAATGGATGTTTACCATCATTAGTCATTAGGGAAACTCAAATGAAAACTACAGTGAAATACCACTGAACACTATTAGAATGACTAAAATAAAAACAAAATACTGACAATATCAAGTGCTGATGAGGATGTGGAGAAACTGGGACTCTCATTTATGGCTGGTGGGAATGTAAAGTGGTACAGCCACTTTGGAAAACGGTATTATAGTTTCTTTAGGAAATTAAAGAAAGACCTATTAGATGAGAAACTATTCTATTCTTAGGTATTTACCCGAGGGAAGAGAAAGTATATGTCATACAAACACTTCTACATGAATGTTCATAGAAGCTTTTCTTGTAGTAGTCAAAACCTGGAAACAACCCAAAAGTCCATCAGCAGGTGAACTGACAAAACACATTCTGGTACATTCATACCATGGAATACTAATCAACAATAAAAAGGAACGGACTACTGATACACGCAACATGGATGGATCTCAAAATCATTATGCCGAGTGAAAGAAGCCAGACAAAAATAAGTGTACATACTGCATGATTTCATTTATATAAAACACTTGAAGATTCAAACTAATCTATAGTGACAGAGAGCAATCAGTGGTTGCCTAGAAATGGGATGAATTACAAAGGAGCCTGAGGAAACCTTTGGGGGTGATGGATATGTTCAATATCTTGATTGTGGTGATACTTTCATGGGTATAAACATATATCGAAGTTATCAAATTGTACACTTTAAATATGTGTAGTTTGTTATGTGTCAATTCGACCTCAATAAAGCTGTTCAATATAAAAAAAAAAGAAGGAATAGTCAATAATATTATAATTACGTATAGTGTCAAATGGGTATTAGACTTATCAGGTGAGCACTTTATGAAGTATAGAAATCTCTAATCACTATGTTGTACATCTGAAACTAATATAATATTGTATGTAATATTTTTCAACTATATTATATTTTCAACTATAACTGAAAAATAAATTTTGAAAATAATCTAAAAAAAAAAGATTTTAAAAAAGGAAGAAGGAATACAACTGAATTCCATATCATCACAAAGAGGAGAGAGAGGGTGGACATGTTTTGTCACCAAATTCCAAAATATTTGAACCAAAATGATCCCTGGAAGCTTGAATGAAGAATTGTAGGGCAAATAAAATGAGAACTAAACTTATAAAATTCACAGAAGAAGCACAACTCATTGTCCCCTAGAATGCTGGTAAAGGAACCTGAGGCTGTTTGAGAAGTGTTCCTAACATTTTAGGTTGTCAGAAGGGGCAGCAAGGACAACCACAGTGTCTCATAGCACATATCCAGGTGTAACCATCAGAGACATCATCAGAGATGAGTTTTGAGGGTTTTATTTATCCTCTCATCAAGCATTCCGTATGTCCTATGGGCACCTAAAACTCAACACATCCCCAAAGGCACTCATCTTTTCCCAAAACCCATTCCAGTACCTATATTCCTTAACTTGGGCAATGATACTGCTTCTACCAATCATTGAGTTAAAGCTCATCGATTCTACCTTTTAAATATCTCTTGAATCCCACCCCATCCCCTCCATCACTGCCCTGATTCCAGCCCCCATCATTTCTCCTCTGGATAACTGCAGTAGCTCCCTAGCTGGTGTACTTCCTTAGTCTTATGCAGTCTGCCAAAATCACTCGTCCATCAACATTTCTGTATCCACACCCTACAGCAGGATTTCTTTAGCTGCACATTAGAATCACATGAGGAATTTATGTCAATGGAAAAATGTCAATGTTCGGATCCCATTCTCATAGATTTTGATTTATTTGGTCTTGGGTAGGACAGAATATTTTTTTCCCCAAAGCTTCCCAGGTAATTTTAATGTGTAACTAGGGTTAAGACCCACTGCCCTAAGGCACTAGTTCTCAAACTCCTTCAGGCATCAGAATTCCCTAGAAAGCTTGTTAAAACAGATTGCTGGGCCCCACCTACAGAGTTTCTGATTCAGTAGGACTAGGCTGGGGCTCAACAATTAGCATTTCCAACAAGTTTCAGGTTGATGCTGCTGCTGTTGGTCCAGGGACACTTTGAGAACCACTGCTCTAAATCATTTTAAAGCTTGTGCTTGCCATGGCCTATCAAACCCTTCACTATCTGCTTCCTTTCTTTCCTATTTCATTTCCTATTGCTCCTTACCTCACGTTCCTCACTCAAGCCATAATAAATTGCTTGCAGCTTTCTCATATCATGCTGTTTCTTGCCACCAAAACTTTGTAGATCCAAGACCTTTTGCCTAGATTGTTCCCCTTCCACCACATCTCTGGATACAGCAAACATCTACTCATCCTTCAAGGCTAAGAGCATACATGTGTCACTTCCTCTGTGAAGCTTTTACTATCCCCTTCCTATGGAGAGTTGGCAAACTGCTTCCTGGGTGCCCCTATTGACACTGTACCTTGACATTATCTTAGTGCCTGTTACCCTATCTTATATTTATTTGTCCACATATCTATAAGCTCTAGTGTGTCAGACAGTTCTTTGTTCACCCTGATTGATAGCACCACGCACAAGGCCTGGGCCAGAGTAAGCACTCAGCAAATGTCCCTGGATGGACTGAATTGGAAATCATTTCCTTACTAGAGCTAGGCATTGGGGGTTGGGACCCCCTGTTATCCAAATGGACTTGTTAACCTTGGGATCCTGTTATGGTTCCAAAGATACTGGTATTGCTTGCTCCTGAAAATTAATGAGATCTGTCTAGACAAACAGAGAGGACTTTGAGCTACAGCCAGCTCAGGCCACCAGAACCAACTTGGCTATGGCTTACAATGGTAGCAGAAAAGAAAAGGGCCTTCAGAGCTACCTGGAAGTTGGAAAAAACTTATGTTGCGATAGCTGAACAGCCTGCCTGCTTGTTTGTCCATTGGTCTGTCTATCTGTGTACCCCCAATCAGACTCTACCTGGATGTACAGGTACTCGAAAGCAGCAGGATCTCGACGCAGCAGCTCCACGGGGTCTTTGGGAAAGAAGCTTATTCGGAAGAGGCATTTCATTCCTTGATAGTGTGTCCTCTGCACCACCTGAATCCCAGGGATGAGAGGTTGGAGTCAAAGAGATCTGGGAATCAATGGCTGTGCTAGTGGAAGCCAGCTCAATGTGTCCTCAAGGTGAGGCTTAGGGTAGAGCAAGGGTGCTGTTTACCACTCTGTCTCCCTCCTGGCCAATTCCAATTACCCCTAGAGAAAAGTGATGAGGAGCAAGGTCTTTTCTGCCCTTCTGACACAAGTGACTACAGTTTTTGAATCACTTATCCAGGACATGGCCTTTATCAACAACTGGGTCTAACACCTAAGGTACTAGGTAGGAAGAAAGGGCTCCTGCGAACTTCTCTGACTCTTCTTCCTGTAGGGCTAGGGTCTTTACCTTGAAAGGGGTTCAACCTCAAGCAGAGGAAGTTGTTGACTAGAAGCTAAATCAAAGATTCAAAATCCTATTCGGAGGTATAGATAAACAAGTTGGCAATATATCAGTAACTGCTGAAGCTGGCATGGGTAATAAGGATTCCTTATATAATCCTTCTACTCTTTTTGTATATTTGAGATATTTTTGGCAATAAAAAGTTTAAAATCCTATTCAGAACAAGAGACCAATAGGATTCAAAAGACTTCTTGAGGGGTGGAGAGGCCCTAAGGCGTCACTCCAAGCAGGACACCCACAACTTTCCCTTCATAGGTAGGAACCTGTTAGTCCCTGGATTGCATTTGGATTGCATTTTTTTCTTTCCAAAATCCTTTCATTTTTTTGTGTGATTTTTGGCTTTTGTTTTATTTCCATTTAGGCATTTCTTCTCAACCTCCCCTCTTCAACTCCTTCCCTCCCTCTTTGGGAATATTGACTGGTGCTGGTTGCCGCTCTAGCTCTTCCTGGTGCTTCACCATTGGTGAAACACCATCCAGAAAATCTGAATTTCCCCAGCCTATTTCCATGTGGCAAAGGCTAGAATGATAAGACATTTTCTCCTACTCTACCTTGGAAGTAGGTGTGGGTGGCATGCTGCCCTTTTTTGGTCCTGCTCAGTCCATTCCCACACTTATCCTGGCCTCGCTGATCTCACTAGACTCTACATGCTGATCCTTCCATTACGGCCTTCATCTGAAGGCCAACTTTCCTCTCAGAGGCAGAAAAGTCTAATGGGGACAGCTTCCAGGAGACAGGAGAGTTGACACTGTTCTTTTAGCTCAGCATTCTAGGATCTGTGACCAAAAGACCAAGACAAACAATCTTCGTGCCCTTTTTAGGTCACAAGGGACATCACCAAAAGCCCTCTGGAGGTGGGTAGTACAAACCTCGATTGAGACCTGTGACTCCTGGGAGTTGGCTGAGCATATAATTATGAATTTTCCAGAAAGAGAGTATGTAGGGTCCTCTTCTCTAGTAGAGGCCAAATGCAAAGCTATCAAGCCAGGATAAAAGAGTTACTTACATAAGCCAGGGGCTGCTTGTCCTGGAGAAGCAGGAACTTGTGGTTCTGTTCTGGCCCAACATACTCAAGGACAAGAGCAAAGTGCTCAATGTACCTCAGGGAAAGACGGTCCTGTAATGTCATCATCACATCCTGTGGAAGAGAAAAGAGCCTTGAGAGGGAGATCCATTCAAGCACTAAGCTACCCTAAGCACCAAACATGGGAGAGCAGGACTGAATACAAAGAATCATAATCCTGGGGAGAAGGCTAAGACAGAAACACCAGCCTTTATTGTGGCCCAGGCAATGTGCTCCAGGATGAGGAGAGTGATGCATGAGTGCTATTCAGAGGACTGGGCCCTGATGAATACCAAAGATACACAGTGGGTGGGGAGGAGTATTTATGAACTTGGCCTGGCCAGGCATATAGCTGAGAAGATCAAGGCTGGACCTCCTTTCCTCTCTCTCTCCTTCCTTTCCTGAGTGCTTACTAAATACCAAGCACTGTGCTGGTTCTTCTCCCACCTTCTCAAGTAAGTCAGAATGTTCGCTCTGATTTGTCCATCAACTCTTTATTTAGGAATTAACAAAAGCAAAAGCCACAATTATATGATTAAAAGTAGACTATTTCTGGATTCAAAATCTAAATCGAATGACTTGAGTTACTGGCAAAATGTTCATTTTTGATCGTAGCTGGCTTTTAGAGATAATCAATTTAGCAACTTGAAAAATGTGTCGGTGCAGAGAAACTACGTCACTTCTTCATAAATCTGATTACTTCTGGGCTCTGTCTGCTCTTCTGCCCTACTTTTAATATTAGGGTATCTGGAAACCTACCTGTGGGGGCTGCCCATATGTCAATTTGACACTTCTGCTATCTATTTGTTGTGACTTTGGCCTACACTGTGCTCCAGTGTTTGTGTTTGTGGAGTCAGCATTGCTCAGCTTCCAAAGGCAGGGAAGAAGCAGGCTTGGGAATGTGAAGCTCCCTTATGGCCAGGGCTGCCAAACAACCCCCTCAGTGAACATGAAAAGATGTTGAGCCATTCAAATGTTCAGCTGGAAATTGGTGGGTACTTGAGAATATCTCTTTGTATTATCTAAGTAGTCACAGAGGGACCAGTGTTGTTGGAGCTCTGGCAGGAACAAATGAGGTTTTCTTTGCAGTTCAGCTGCATTGGGATTGTGGACAGCCAAGCCAATGACTGCCAACTGGTGTTACAACTGTAACGGCCCCTGTGCCAGGCTGTTAATTCACCCAGGTAACTCTGTGGGATAAGTGGCTTGGCAGCCTGTCCAACTTCCAAAGAATAGCCAGTGCACCCTCCTTGAAGTCAGGATGAGATCGCAAGCCAGGGGACACTGCTCTCCTAGAAGGCTGGGGCTACCTGGAAGCAACAATGGTGGTGATGTTGTGAGGTAGGAGAATACTTGGAGAAGGCTCCAAGGCAAAAGAGAAGAGTAAAGACTCTAGTCTGAGGATAGATCTACAAGGGACATACTGACTCATGAATAAGCACCAAGGAGGATTCTGACAGAGAGATATCCACATTTGCAGGAGGGGCCTTTGGACTCCCCTGGGTTGCCTAGTTCCATTTCAATGCTCCTCCCATAGACTGAGACATTCAACAGACAAGAGACAATCCCAGGTACCTGAAGGAGTGTGTTTTGATCCTAGGTCCCAGGGGGGCCCACCCAGGCATAAGCCTTCCAAAGAAACTCTCGGTTCAATCAACACGGGATAGGCCCAATGTTTTGCAACTTGGGTGCTACTGGCACTTTGGGTAGGACAATTCTTCATAATTCAGGGACTGCTCAAATTCGTACAAGACACTTCACACCTCTGACCTTGAGACACTAAATGTACACCGAACTATGGAGATGACCTGAAATAGCTTCAGACTTTCCCAAAAGTTGTCTGGTAGGGGACAATGCCAACCCTGGCTGAGAACCACTGGCAAG